TCATCAAGGACAAAAGACGGAGGAGACGATTCAGACCCATCCACGTAGCCGAGAAGACGATGAGCGAGGAGATTGGCACGGACGGTAGCCGACCAAGAGGGATAATTGGTGTCATCAAGCTTGACCGGGGTTAGGGATTGGAGATTCCGGACAAACAACTTGAGCCCCGTAGGAAGACGATCCATAGGATCAGACGAGGTAGAAGCCATGGCTGTGCACGGCGTGATCGGCAGTGGAGAGATCGGCTCTGCCGATTTTTTTTCGGTGATTAGCGCAGGAAAGGAAGAGAGAGGTTAGGATCTTTGTGCTCTGATACCATGTTGATTTAGTAATCCAACTCAACTGAATAATTGTATACATGGGTGTTTATATAGGTGAGAATCCCTACATGAATTAGGATTCACCAAATATGGAAACTAACATAAATAACAATTCGACCATAACTACACTTCTTGCCATATATGCCTAACAGTATGTATGTATGTATATGTATGTATTATGTACGTATGTATGTGTATAGGCTAGCTAGGGCCAAATAGCATCAATACCCTCGTGGCTTGGAAAATAGGTTGCAATAATCTTTGTTTTCAAAACTTATTCTAAAGTCTATGAAGTTTCAAAACGTACATCCATACCTCCTCTGATTATTTTCTAATCATTTTTTTCCGGCAAAGAAGAGGGTATTGGTGCCTATTTTTCAAGAATGAAATCCCTTTTACATAAGACTCTTTTTTAGATGTTTCAATTTATTCATTTCTTTTTTCCGTATTTTTATTTATATTTTTCATTTTAATTTTCTTTTTGAACTTACGAAAAACCTTATTCTAGAAAACAAAAACTTAAAATTTTTAATTTGAGATATATAGAGTATATGTCACGGAGTATTTTTTATTTCAAACACAAAAAACTTTGAATTTTCAAAAAAAAAATTAAAGGAAATTTTAAAACTTTTCTAGGAAATGGAAACAAAGAGATAAAAAAGTTAAAAAAAGGGAAAAAACAAAGTATTAAACTAAAAATAAGAAGAGTAATTTACCTAAATAGGACTAAAACATAATGAGTTTCTCAATATAGGACCATATATTTGTATTTCCCAATGTAGGATCATTGGTCATTATCAATTAGTTATTATTATTCAACTAAATGTCCAGCATCTCTTGGACATTATTCTTCTCACTAGATATTATTAAGTTCTATTTAAGTAATAAAAAAGTTTAAGTCCTACATTGGGAAATGACTTACTCCCTCCGTCCCAAAAAGTCGATCCTGTTTCATTTTTTGCGCATCCCATAAAATACTTCTACAGACATCTAAAATGCCTAAAATTTACAACATTTCTTCTTTATTGTGGGTTGAAGTTATTTTGAAAGTCTTTTTGGCATTCAAGGCGGAATATAAGTGTTTTATTGGATGCGCAAAAAATGAAACAGGAAAGACTTTTTGGGACGGATGGAGTATGTTTTAGTCCTATTCAGTGCAAATTTCACAAATAAGAAATGAGAATGTGATTTAGAAAATAGCCATCAATGCACCGTGTTGGCGACAGAAGAAGGAAGCCGGATCAAAGAAGGAAACTGAATCCCTTTGGGATTCGGTTTAGTATCTTTCCTAGTTTGTTTAGTTTTTTGTTATAGTAGGAATAGAAATATGGTAGGAATAAAAGTTACTTAAATGCTTTACTCTCTTCCTATATAAAGGGGGTTAGACCTTTGTAAGCACAAGCCAATTCAATATACAGAATATTTTTGGTATAGAATGCAAACTCTTGTTGAGGATCAAGGCACCCAATGACTACAAAGGCTCCCTCCGTCCGCTAGGGAAAAAATTTGGAGCCCTCGCGGACGAAGTGGAGGCTTTGCTGCAGTACGCCGCCTTGTCTGGGCTCCAGGTGGTCGGAGTCTCGTTCCACGTGGGGTCTATAGCCGAGGAACCCGTCATCTACCGCCATGCAGTCGCGGCGGCGAGGGCGGTGTTCGACGTGGCGGCTGAGCTCGGAATGGAGCCAATGCAAGTACTAAACATAGGTGGCGGTTTTAGAGCGGCGACACAAGTATTTGAAGAAATCTGTGACACGGTAAAATCAGCAATCACAGATTATTTCCCTAAAGAAATGGCAGTAACGATCATTGCCGAACCTGGAAGGTACACTATACATCCATACGTACTATATATTCCTTCCCGTCCTAAAAACATGTGAGTTATTGATTTTTAAAATATTTAAAAAAAATATATTTTGATATTTAATTTCCAAAAAAAATCTTCTGATGTGATGGGTACGTAAAAGTAAGATTTTATGGGAAGAATATTAGTAAAAAAATATAATGTGATAGATATGGTATGAAAAAGCTAAGAAGTAAAAGTGATTTTTTAGAAAAAAAATAAGAAATATTTTTTGGGACGAACGAAAAAAAGATAGAAGAAAGGTTTTCAAGAAAAGATAGAATATTACTTCCTTCTTTCCAAAATAAATGTCTTTTTTGTTCATTCTAATTTCTAAAATAAAGGTGTATTTCTTTTTTGGTATAGAATCTCTCTTTTAATTTCAATAAACTCTAACTATGCATTTTTTACTTAACAATACTTCTCTGAAACTCCACTTAAAGTCAATGTACACTTTTAATTTCGGACCGTGAGAGTATTATTTAACATTTATACTCTGTCAGTTTGTCTTAGATCTTAGCTTTCATCTGGTATAAATTTTCTTCATCAAACTTTTTAAACTTTGATTACAAAATAAAATGATGATTTTATTTACCAAGTTTTAAAACTTGGATACCGATCAATACATTCATTTTGAAATATCATATTTTAGAATATGTAATTTTAAATAACATACTCCATCCGTCCATGAAAACCTTTCTCCTTTCTTTTTTCATCCGTCCCAAAAAACACTTTTCATTTCTATTAAAAAGTCACTTTTACCCCTTACTTTTTACTAATAATCTATCCATCAAATCATACTTTTACCCATCACATCAACGGACATATTTTAAAATTCAATACCAAAATACACTCCCCTTAAATCCATCTTCAAAATCAAAACTCCCATGTTTTCCGGGACGGAAGGAGTATTTTTTAAATACATGTCTATGTGATAGAATTTTGGATGCGGTAGAATCACTAGATTGGTCATAAGACACTTAAGTTGAATCATATTAAAAGATTGAGTTCAATTGATCACTTAATTAATTTAACTTCGAGCTTATAAATCGATCACTTTTTCATAGATATTCGAACGTCTAGACTAGGGTCGTTAGGAATGAACGTGTTGAAAGACACCTTAACAGATTAGGTGGACTAAAACTAGTTCCGATACCATGATAAAAATTAGGAATGGATCGGACCATAAGACATTTAGGTTAAATATTAAATCCAATTGATAACTCAAGAGCTTATGTGTCAATTATTTTTATTTCCAACATCCCATGTAGGATATTTTAACATTATGTATAAATATAACATGGAGTAAATAATACTCCGTAATTGTATAATTGTCGAATTGAATACCATGATGTAAAATTAGAACGGAATTTACTATAACACACTTTTATGGTACACAATTACCGAGTACTCCATAGGTCTGGCTAAAGTTATCTTTGAAAAATTAATATTCCCCCTGTCCACAAATAAAGTTCTCATTGCGCGTTACGATGTTTGACTGAAATTATTTTCAAATCATTTTATATGAAAAATGGTATGGAATTAAAAAATAAAAATTACATATTTAAAAACTACATGAAAAGATCTACAAAACTAGAGGTGACATGAATATATTATTTTATCAAATAAGACACAAAAATAGGCCAACAAAGTGAATAAAATTTGACCATGTGAATAGTGAACGAGAACTTTATTGTTGGACGGAAGGAGTATGATGATGAATTCTAAAATCCGTAAAAAATGAGATATAGATTTTGAAATTTAAATTAAAAGTATAGTGTCTAGAAAAATTCAAAACATACTCCCTCCGTCCCAAAGAGTCTTTCCTGTTTACTATTACGGCCTTTCGATAATTCTAATTTGTTTGCGTGTTTTCATTGATCATTTCATAAAATAAAATATTCTTGTCACCTCTTCTCTTGTAGAGTTTCTGATGTAGTTTTTAAATATAATTTTTTTATGTCTTATTTCCTTACCAATTTGCAAATAAAATCATTTTAAAATCCACGGAATTTTGCACATTAATCAAAGTAGGAAATTTTTTTTGGGACGGAGGGAGTATTTATTAGTGACATATAATGATGGTCGACAATACGGTCAACAGTGGATTATTGAGATATCAAATCATTGAATTGACATCTCCCAAATTATTGGGAAGGTTCTAATATTTTGAGATCATTATCAAATTTGAACTGAACTCTATTTAAACTTCACCAAATACCCTATCAAACGTATCAACATCATGAAGAAAAACTTCTTGAATAAGGGTAAAAAATTATGAAAATTCTGAAATATGAGTTTTAAGCATCTTAAGATCAAACGACTTTGTAATGTCATTGCATATTATACTGACACACTAATCACATTGATACACACTATCACACTGTCACTGGCTCACTGCTACACTACCACTTACTGCCACCGGAATTGATTGTGCATACATATAGGTACTTTGCGGAGAAGGCGTTCACGCTGGCGACAAACGTGATCGGAATCCGAGCACGCGGCGAGAGGAGGGAGTACTGGATCAACGACGGAATCTACGGATCCTTCAGCCCAACGATGCACAACTCATCACTGGTGAGTATCAAGGCGGCGTTCTGCACGCCGCCCGTGAATGAGCCACCGGCGATACGGTCCTCCGTCGTTTACGGTCCATCGTGTGATTCTCTAGACGAGGTGACCGCGGCGTCGGGGGAGATAATGTTGCCGGAGCTACAACTGCATGATTTGCTGGTGTTCACCAATATGGGTGCTTATTCCAAATCCGTTGGAACAAACTTCAATGGCTTTGATACCTTTTCCATCCCCACTTATATTGCCTACAGTTGAGTTAATACTTATTTTGGTCTATCTAAAGGCTTTTGTTGTCTTCGACCAATGTGATTGGTTATGATCTGATTCGATTAAGTTCTGATCTGATTTGATCTGATTTCAATAAAAATAAACAATAAATAAAATATATAAGTTTAAAAGAACAAGCTCAAAGTATAAATATGAGTCAGTTTGGTCATTGTATGTTGACTTGAATCAAATTAATTTAGTCTATGTCGCTCAAAAATATAAATCAAGCAAGCTAGGACTTCAAACGATATTAATTCTAGCTATTTGATTAAAACATTAAGTTGAGACGTTAATTGACACAAGTTTTTCTAGGTGGTTGTGTTAAAATAAATGTCTTAATATGTCAGTAACACGATTACAATAAATTTCTTTAGACTGTCTCTTTCCTCTGTCTTAAAATTTTTTCAATCCATTTTATTTAAAGATTTGTATATAAATAAAAAAATAAAATTTACATATTTAAAAAATACATCACAAGTTCTACAAAACAAGAAGAGACAAGAATATTTTATATCATCAAATAATCAATGAAAATACACAAATAAACAAATAAAACTACTCCGTTTATTTATTTTGTTTTAATTTGGTTCCATTCTCATCATAAAGTCTTCCTAGTATTTGTATTAATGTGCAAAAAAATGAATACGGAAGAGCAAATAAGGAATGATTGTTGATTAATATTATTATTATTATTATTATTATTATTATTATTATTATTATTATTATTATTATTATTATGGAAAGTATGTACAAATTACATCATGAATTAGAATAAATAAATGGAATGACAGTACATTATTTATTCATTTTGGTTGGGTCTTGGAGCCATACATTTTAAGCAAGGTATAGACAATGATAGAAGCAGAGACGCATAGGCACAGCCAGTTGCAGGCAGCAGATGATGGTGGTGGTGTTGTTGTGAAGGTGCCCACTTCTTCTCCCTTAGCTCCGGCAGCCCCACCGTCTTTCGGCACAACTTCTGCAGTCTGTTCCCTCGCCGGAGTTTTCTCGGCTTGTGCCGCTGGTTGCGTGACTTCCGCCGCCACTTTCTTGGCCTGTCACAAAGTGCATTTGTTTGTTTAGGGAAACTTTAATTAACTTGCCCAAAGACCTTGTGGCCCCGCGGCATTACTGTGGATCTCTCAAATGTGAGGTCACAGGGTCGAATCCCAGTGGGGCAATAACCCAAAAAGTATGAACATATACTAAATTGTAACAGAATTATTAGTGTCCATCTGAATTCATGTTTGGTCCAAAACGGACGATATCATACTAATGTGGAGTTAACGTGACATTTGAAGATGTGGCTAATAGCATAATTGTAGTTGAGGTTGTTACATACCAAGTTCCTCATGTGAAGATTGTAGAATAGCTCAATGTATCGTAGCTTAGCGTGTTTTTGCTTGGAGTGCATCGCCCTCCAGCATCCGTACGCCGATCCCATGTTCAACACTTTCTCCGCGTAAATCTTCCAAGTAAAACTACATAGAGAAATGTGGTTTAAAAAAACACTCGTTTTGTAACAGAACAACATTATATATATCTAGAAACCAACTCAACCAAAAGCGCGAGATTATAGTCGCGTATCCAAGAAAGGTTTTATGGGTTTGGATGGTTACCATTCGTTTATGCGATGTAAAGCCGCGTTTGAAATCTTGTCCCAATATCCCACATCAGACTTGCATTTCTCGAAGAAGTCGAGGATCTTCTTGCTGGATTCATCCCCGTTGTAAGGGTCGATGTGAAAACCCGAGACTCCATCGACAATGATCTCCGCGGGCCCACCTTGGTTCGTGGCGAATGTGGGGAGCCCACAGTTCATTGCCTCAATCACCGTAAGCCCGAAAGCCTCATACAAAGCGGGCTGCACGAAAGCCCCCTTTGTCTCTGCAATCATCCGGTACAGCTCCCCATTTCTCTTTCTGTCCGTTTGGGCTGCTATCCATCTCATTTGTCCCTTCAGTTTGTACTTGTCTATTAAATCGTGCATCTTCTTGATTTCACCGGCTTCTTCTCGGTCTTTTGATTTTGACGGATCGAAGAACGCCCCGACGATCACAAGGTTCACTAAGCTTCTTAGTGTCGTGTTCTTCCCGTACCATTCGGTCAATCCCGTGAGATTCTTCACAGTGTCTAGCCTTGCCATTGAGAAGATTATTGGTTTGGTCTTGTCCGCCAGGAAACCACTTTATGAAACAAACAAAAAAATTATTGAAATAAACAACGCTCTGATACAATGTCAAGAAACTAACTCAGCCAAAAGCTCAAACTTGTTGTATGTACAGAAAAGATTCTTTACTCCTAACAAAGTAACAAGTTGTCATTTATTAGATTAGTAAGACAACTCACATGTGCTCATTGGTATCCTCATTGTTGAAAAGCAATGCCCCAATGGCGGGGCGAAATGAGGCGAAACACTTATCCTTCTCCGCGTAGGAGAAGTAGACGGACTGGTCAGCCCCGGGCGCCACAATGTTAAACTTGGGATCAAACACATTTATGCCAGAAACAACTCTGCATAGCCCTGGCATTGTAAAGGCCTCATGGCTCTCATATTGTCCAGGTTTGGTTTTGCTGCAATAATGACCAAGAAAAAACAAGCAGCCCTTAGTTATCGGAATATAGTAACTGGACAGCTAATTATGGCTGTCCCAAATAGGGAAAATAAAGATTAATCACTAACCTTCCCGCGATTTCTTGATACGTGCTGGCTATGATGAAATCTGCCGAGTTCATTGCGATCAAGTCTGCTGTGAATTGGGACGAAAAGTGGTACTTTTGATCAAAGTTATTCCACTTGGCATCAGAGTCTTCATATTTGGTTTTCTCCAAGGCATGAGCAATTGTTGCCTAATCAATAACATACAATTAGAATAAACACCTAACCTCCGTTTAAGCAGATTCTACCATTTCAACCAAAAAACGCCACTAAGATTCGTGAAGGTTTTTAAAAAAATGAATTGGCTAAACCTGTGTTACTCCAAGTTTGCGGGACATGAGGGACGCGACCAAGTTTCCATCAGTGTAGTTTCCAATAATGAGGTCTGGTTTACCTCCCATGCTCTCAAGAATCTTGGAAGTGGCATCCTGATGCAAAAAAAACACTTATAAGGTTGAGAGGCAAAAAAACCATCCCAAAAGAGCTTTCAAGAAACAGAAGTTCATTCAAATAACATCAAATCTAGAGGTAGCAAAAGCGTTTATAACCTCGCAAAACCTCTCCAAGTAAGGATAAATATCAAATCTGGAAACCCAATGTTGCAAAACCCCTCTTTCGGTTTTAAAAGGGACGCGAAGAATGCGAGAACACTCTGTGTCAGATATGAGTTCCATCTGTTTATTGCAATCTGTCCCTCGCGCATCTGGTATGAGCCGCGTCACCACAAGAATCTGAGGCTTAATGTTCAATCCTTGTTGCTTAATTCTTAGCACCATTTCTTTCTCTAAAGCTCTTACTTGATCAAGAATGTACACCACCTGTACAGAACAACAAAAAAAGACCCTTTTTAAAGCCTTTTTAATCTTTTAGAATATAAGCTCAGCTCAACAAGTTTTCGTAGCAAAAGACCTGGCCTCCAGTATCAGGCAAACCAAGAACGTCGGCTTGGCCAAAGTAGCCGTGAATGGACAAGATCACAATGTTGAACACGGAAGGCAGCCTGCTGAAGAATGATTCGGTGCTTGTGGGGTCTGGTGCTTGGAGAACTTCAGAAAGTAGTCTCATTGTCTCCCGGACTCTCTCTGCATTCTCGCCCCATCCTTTCTCAAATCCCAAATCTCTCAGCCTTTCAAATTGAACACGAATAAGAGTCGAAATGACACACTACTTTACTCCAGAAATGGTAACAAAAATTGCTTGAAATACATAATCAATCTACTCCTTTATATAAAAAAGCAATACTTTTGTGCAAAACTTTGGTAAGGCGTGTGTTTTGGTTGAACAGATACATAACGTTGAGCCACAATCAATGCGTATTGAAGCGATGCGACTGTGTTAAGAGTGTCATTGATCATAAGCTTCTGTAACAAACATATAAAACAAAACCATCTTTTCCTTAGTGTCACGAAAAAACAAAACAGACAAGACAATAGATTTCAAAGCAAACAATTCTAGAGTTCGAACCTCTCCACGGTGGTTGAGCGCTAGAAGGTAGTCATGCAGAGGCGTTGCACCATCAAGAGTTGCACCAAATTTGGAACCCATTATTTTCGAGATGAACTCGAGTCCCTTTCCAATGGAACCAGAAAGTGCTAACGGGTGATCAGGGTAGTCGAATGCCCTGAAATCAACTTCTAGAGCATTTTCATCCTTGGCCCTGTCAATGCATTAAATATGGTCTCAATTGGTTTTGGGATGGAATCTCACAATTTTAGACAGATGAGGTGAGAGGTAGCAAATGCAAAAAAAAACTACCAGTTTTCATCAAAAACCATTTCTTTGAAAGCTAGATATTCTTTCGCGGTGATTCCCTCAACAGAAAAGTTTTGGGCATTAACTTTGAAGTAGACCCAACTTCCCGGGTTGCTTCGATATGCAAAAGCAACATTAGGCCGCACAACTACAGCCTCCTGAAATCGGTACACATCAGTAATGTTGCATTTTGTTCTCTTTTTTTTCAATACATAAATATTTCAGTACTATTATGAATGCAAATCATAATTAGCTCACCTGAGTGGAACTCAGAATCTTTCCCAGTTTCCCCTCCAAAAAATTGGCTCTTTCAGCTTTGTTTGGCACCGTTTGATCTATCTCTCCTGATAAATCCTTCTGTTTCATGAGCCTTTTCCCCGCACTGAGACTCTTCCTATCGACGAGCCTTCAAGTTCAATCCGTTTTAATATTTGAAAAAAAGAATGTCTTTATATGCATAGAATGCATAACAGTTTTTTTTTTAAAGATCAAAAAAGAAAAAGTATGTCACCTGGTAAAAAATACAGTGGCATGGGCTTTGCTCTGCCTGATGCCATCAACCATGTCATCGACAACATTTGAAGCCATTTTAGAACTGCAACGGCAATAAATGT